CATGACACCCAATACCCATTTTAGTGGAGCAGAGGTTTAATTTGCCCACAGTTTATGAAAGGCAGAAACATCCTGTTAGAAGGGCACAGAAGCAGAGCCTTAGAGCAGGAAAAGTGTTCCAGAGCGGATGGAGTGAGGAGCCAGATACGGACCCAAGGCCTGGCTCCAGGGCCCACCTAGAGATACCTGGAAGTGTGCCCATTCAATCCCAAAGCCAATCAAATTAAAACTCCACCGCAAATTCCACATTCATCAAAGATATTTTTGTTCTTTTCATGATGATTGTCCTCTAAGTAATGCATTATTTCTCACTGGCTGCTTTTGCAATTTTTCCTTAATGTTTTCAGAATTTTAGTGACAAAATTCCATAGTGTCAAATTTTTTATTTATCCTATTTGTGTTTCTGTGAGTTTCTTTAGAAGAGGTTTACCTACTTTTGGTAGAATATGGCACAGTGATCAACCTATAATTTTTTCTTTCACCAAATGTGGGAAACCTTCAACCATAATTTCTATATACACTATCTCCTGTCCTTCTCCTTCAGTATTATAAATATTAGCTTTTATATTGACTCCAAAACCCCTGAGTGTCCTTTTTTCTCAATGTATTATTTTTCTACTCAGCTTTATTAAATCTTATTGATCTGTCTTTATGATCACTTTTTTTTGTTATTTTCCATTTACTACTAAGCCCAACCAGTAAGTACTTTCTTAAATTTAACTTCCTGAAATTTCTACTTCTATAATTTCCATTTATCTTTTTAAATAACTTTTATTTCTTTGATAAGATTTTCAGTTTTCTTTCAATTTTCAGAGAATTTGTAGTTATTTATTTCAAGATTTTTAAGGTTTTTGCTTTAAAATTCTTGTCAGCTAATTCCAATATTGTATTCATCTTGATGTTGGTATCTACTAATTGTCTTTTCTTATTCATGTTGGGATTTTGAAAATTGTATTTTGATAGTTCTGCTAATATATCATGACAGTCTGTGTTGTAGCTTGGCATAACTGATGCCATCTTGAGCCCTGCATTTTACTAGTGCCCTGTATTTGACCCAGAAAAATGGAAAATTACTCAGGGTGTAAGTCCCATGAGAAAAGCAGAATGAGCTGTACCCACAGGAGAAAAATTAACCTGCTCAACAAAAGCAGCGGGGTACAGGTGTCAACCAAAAATTAAGGAAAGATTCGAACTATATTGTTCCAACAGGATGTCTTTTGTGATTCTTTCTTTTAAAAACTCTGTAACTTCCAGTTCAGGGCCATTTGTTTGGACCCTGAAACGGGGTGCAGGGTCTGCATAGGAGTGGTCCTGAGCACAGTTAATTAAATTTCAAATTTATCAATTTGGCTGCTTGAATTCCTATGTTGTTGTTCACGAACCTACTTCAGTCTGGATTATAGTAAGTCCTCTCTCCTTAGAAGGCGGTCCTCTTGTTAAGATATCCAGATCGAGGTCAGCGTGTGTGATCAGCTTCCCAACAGAACTGTGGTGAAGGTGAGTGCAGAGTCGCACTGCCACAGTGCTGGAGGATGCATGGGAAGAAGCTCAACCCTGCCCTGGGCCCCATGATACCTTCCCTGTAAAAGGGAGACATGAGCTCCTACCACCATCTCGTGGCCTTCAAATAGGGTTGAAAACTCAGCTTTCTGTTGGGCCCCATCATCACCAGAGAAGGGTAAAATAGAGAGAGAGAACACACAGTTCTATTGGTTCAGATAGAGGGCAGAGGGCTTTCCAGTGGACTCTGCTGAAACTAGGGGAGGAGACGAAGGAAACAAGCACAATCTGACTGTCATCTGACTGATGCAGGCTGACTGTGGGAGGGGAACACACGTGCTGATTTGTCCTGTGTATCACATTCTTACTCAGTTTCATGCTGCCCTGTGGGTGTGGAGGTTCTGTTCCCCACTGCACCGTACTGACACCAGAAGTAGAGTGCCAGCTGGCTCCAACTTGCACAACCCTGTTCAGTCATGTGGATATCAGATGAAAACACGGATTTAGTTTGCTGTTAGGTTCTGCTGACACCATCCTTGTGGAAGAAGAGGAGGCTTGCCTACCTCCTCTGGGCAGGAAATAAAGATCAGTGCCCAATCAGTCCTACCTCTGGGTAGCAATGTTGCAGCACACCAAATGTCACATGGCAAGATAGGAAGGGCAGCTCGTGTGTCTACTGAAGCTATGGGGTGGGAACACAGTAGTCACTTAAGTGTCCAGAGAACATTAAGTATTGTGAAAAGACTTTCCATTGTGAGGCCGCCCTTTTCTTGGCCCTTTAACTAGGAGACCTTGTTAGTCTCTGTGAGACTTTGTTAATATACAACAGACTTCGTGAGACATGATTTTGTCTGTGCCTGTTGGCAACTCAAGGTTTCTGCAGTGACCTATCCAGGATACGTGAAAGGAAAGGAAACCCATAGGACTCGGTGCTATGTTTTTGCCCAAGTTCTAAAGTCCCTTAAGGAGACCACCTTTTTCTTTCCCTCCTTGAGTCTCCCTGTGCTGGTTTGTGTGGCCACAGCTGTAAGAGAGAGGGCTCCTCCTTGGTCAGAACCAGAAGTTTGATCAGTACTTGCTTTTAAACAGAAGTGGATAACAGGTATAGTATGTTGATGTAACAATTAATTCATATAAACAACTTTTCAAGATGTTACAATTTACATTTAGCCAATATCCTACATCTGTCATATAGTATATTATGCCATAGCATGTGACAAGAATTACTTTCAAAAATGAGAATATTCTGAAAATGACTTCTGAAGTAGAAAAAACAATTGCATGATTTTCTCTGTCTTTGTGAGTGGTAATATCTAGATGAGTCTGATTCTCTAAATAATGATAGTTTTCAATTCACTAGACACCTAACCCCCCCCCCATCAATTTGGCTAAAAGAGATTTTATTTTATATGGAAAACTAGAACAGAGTTAGATTACAGACAAATATGAAGACAGGCTTAAAAATAGCAGTACTGGTGAAAGGGATCTAAACAACATTTACAGATGGAATGTCTTTAGTCAAGTATGTGGAGGTTATTATGTAAAATCTTTGATGGGGAGATAAAATATGTTTGACTTTAGCAAGAAAATGCTAACTCAGATTGTTTTTCTTTGTTAACTTTATAAAATTAATTCATGCTTCTAGGAATACATTAAAATGTATAAGTACAAAATGGGAAATGTAGTAATTTTTTCCTCCCTTGTTTTTCAATACTGTCTCCATTATTAACAGTTTTGGTGAGTTTGATTGAATTTTAGAAATAACCATCAGCAGTCAACATTTCTCTGTATAGGTAGACTTGGAATCACTCATGCCCTGGAAAATTTTAGAATTAGTCATGGAGATGATGCAGGGTAAGTGGAGGAAGGACTCTTAGATCATTCCAGCTTTCAATTCCATCTTTGTGACTACCCTTTAAAATATACACAGCACACACACACACACATTCATCTCCTTTTTATTTGAAAAAAACATTTCACCAGCCCCTCCAACATATGCTTGTTTTGAACTTCATATAGTACCTCAAAATTCACTTCTTAGAAACACAATGTGGTGTATAATGAGTAGTGAGTATCTATTGAAGTCTCATTATTCTGAGATAAAAGATCTCTTTCTGATTTTTCATTTAAAAGATACAATGAGCATAAAAGTAATGTTCAGAGAGGCCGGGAGGTTAAAATATACTTTACTGGAAATGATAATTGCTCTGACAATAAGGTGTTACATTCTCTTAGCATGCCACATTTCTTTGTAAAAGGTATATTTGTTTTGGGGTGAAGGAATATTATCTAGACTTTTTACATCCACAACTATCTGGGAAAACAAAGAACATCTGTTCAGTCTTTTACTGCCCAATTCCAGCTTTAAAGTTTTTAAAGTTTGTGATGGAATCAAAGTGTTGGACAAGTGTGTCTGTTGTAGAAGAATACAGGAAACAGAAGTAGCGAGCATTTCACTCAGGACCGATTCACTTGGATTCATAGGATATGTTCCAAGTGAGCATGTGGGTAAATTTAACATCTAACTTTTCACATTTACTCAGAGTAAAGGTTAGCTTCTGGAGAGATCCAAGAAAACTCTGACTGCGTGAAGATTTAAATTATGGAATGATATTTCATGGTTTGATACACTGAGCTGAGGTGTGGACATTTTTAAAGGGAACCAGAATGTTTTTTTCTGATGCTTTACGGGACCCATTTTGCTTTGTTCCATTCCCCTTTTGGAGACAGTCATCACTGAGTTGGCCAATCTGAGCAGTTTACCTATGGTTTTTCCACTGCCAAGTGAGAAGGAAAGTTTGACTCCTGTGACAATAACTATCTGTGTTTTGGGTATAGAATCTGATACAGAATTTTCAGTTTTCTGTCCAGAAAGAAATGAGGGGAAGGGAGGCAAAGGTGGTGGGACACTCCCCTGTTGCCATCTCCTTACTCCTCTTTCCTGTCCTCCACCCTCTGGGGCTGGGGATTTAGCAAGTGGTCCTGAGTTCGATCCCCAGTGGCGGGGGGCGGGGGGGGGGGCACTCTGAATGCTGCTCTGAAGTGCTCTCCGGAGAAAATGCAGGCTTGTAAAAACATTATGGTGTGTCCTGGTTCACCTTCTTCACTGTCTCTGGCACCATGCAACTGCTAGCTTTTCCTAAAGCCATGTAAGACAAATGTTTTGAATTGAATCAGGACATTGAGGCAGACTTGACAACACACCTAAAGACATGAAAAGAGACTTTCAGGACTGTTTCAGAAAGGAGAGAGAATGGTGGGATACATGTGTTCATAGTGTGTTGGAAGATTTTGCGGAGAACGATGGCAATGTATCTTTAACTATAATCCATTCTTCTAATTTAATGTACACATTCACCGTGTTCTTGATCACACCTCATATTTTATGTGCGAGTGCCAACATTCACATTTAAGTGACAGATTGAGAGGGTTTTTTCAGTTATTTTTATTTTAGGGGTACAGCCTCTGTATCTTTCCTTTGATTAACACAAAACACTCACTTTAGACAAAGCCTTTATTATTATTTTCACTTCTAATATTGAAACAGAGGCAGTGTAGGTTGTTTGTAGCCCCAAGCAAAAGGAGTTTAGAAATGTTGATCATAAAATAGCTATCAAGATTTTTCCTTTAAAAAACTTATTTTTGGATTTCCCACACAAAGATAAATTTTCAGCAGTGTATTTCCATGGTTTAATTTTGTATTTGTGATAGATCATTGTTTTCAGACTTCAGTTTTGAAAGGATTCAACAGCTGAGTTGAAGAACACAAACCTTCCTCTAAAATATATAAGTGAGCTGTGGGTGGAATAATCCCAGGGGCAGAACCTGCTTGCAGTTTGGCATTCTTTGGTTCCAGCTGTTGAATACAGATAATTTAGATTATAATAGTGGGACCAAGAAATGCTTTTAATGCAAATTCCTTGCATTACATGTCTGTCTTTAAAGAACAAGTGGACATTCTTACAAACTACCAGAATAGGAGGCTATTTGTCTTTTCTCGGTACAGTAGCTATAAGTAGATAGGAAAGTCAAGGCTTCATAAATTTTGTATCTTACTTAGTTTTATTCTAGGGCAGTTAAAAACAAGGCCTTACAAATCTCCCAGACAGGTCATTTTCCTTACACATTTCTGTTTCCTAGCTTACCACAATAAAGACATATTGTTTTTATTATAGGTGAAATATTTTAGATCTTCTGTTATACTTATCATGCTAAGAAGAAAATCAGAATGATGTACTTCACAAGCAGTGAGCTTATTCTTTATGTGGCATATGATTTCATTGTAATGGAAGAAAGCTACAGATACAGGCAAATCATTGTCAGCTCTGGGCTACTTGAAATTGATCACCTGATTCCAACTTGAAGTAGTCTTTCCAAAGTCACTCTTGTCTGTCTTAACATCCATCGTTTGTTTTGTCCCACAAAAGATTTATGATAGTTTACAAAGACAAAACCATGACAGTTAAAAGTGAAAGAAAAATAAAATTGAAAAATAGTGGTAGACATACAAAATAGATCTATAATCATTAATAGTTGGGCCATTAATATGATTTTTGAGGAATTTTATTAACTACTACCAATAAGAAACCTGGTTGGCCCTTAGGTTCAGAGATCACAGAATCAAAACAAACTGGTTACATGATAGAAGTGTTAATACTTGGGGGACTAGAATGAGACAGGAAATTCCGGCTCATAAAGAAGATCGTGATCTTTGATCAGTACCAATGACAATGCCCTTACAACAGAGGTAATTGACCTATTTCTTACCTAACCCCTGAACATAAACTGGTGACATCGTATCGAAAAGCAGATCAGTAGAATGGATTCTGCCACAGGTTTTCTAGCTTCATCTACAAGTTATCCAGGTTAACCATATACACATAGAAAGTCTTAAGACACTGCTTACTCTTAGGAAGTGCTCAGTAAATGTCTGTAATGAATATAACTGATACCATTATCTAGTGCCTGATCTTTGATTAGGAAGCGATGAGCTCCACATCCTACAAGTAGCATGCAAATGGCCTTTAGGGTGTCTCTAAAACTCACTGCTAGTGCATCTGATAACAGGAGGTTTGGTTAAGCTTAAGGTAGATATTGCCATATTTGGACTTTCCAGAGAAAGTGGGCATGGTCCACGTAATACTTAAAAAATGGATGACAAATCTGAGCTAAGAGGAGTACCTTCCAAGGGTGAGCATTTCCTTCCTGTTTCTGAAGGACAACCTCCTTTTAAGGAACTAAAAGATGCTCTCTAGAAATCTCTTCTGATTTCTCTGCCTTCTACCAAGATAAAGGAGAGTGCAGCACCTCCCTTGGCATCTCCCTCCAGCCTTGTCCTCCTTTTCTGAATCTTACTAAGTGGCCCATTGCAGTTGGTCTTACATATCAAAAGGCAGTGACTGCTGGAATCTCCCAAGAAAGGGGCCCATTTGGGGGTGGAAACATCCCCACTCAGGGTGAACCTTCCTGATGAGCGAGTGTAAGGCATGGGGCAGTATGCTGCAAACACTGGGCATGTCTTGTTGTGGCTTTTAGTGCCAGGATGTGTGGGGGCCTGCATCCCTCGCAGTCACGTCACTTTCTTCTTTTACTGAAAACTGAAACCCAGCTCCAGTCAGAAGGCTGTGAGGGTGAACAAATGTATAAGAAGAGAAAATAGAAATGTTTAGGAAGGCTGGCTCCTTTGCCCAGGCCTCATCTAGAGAGACCCCCAAGCCTACCTCCTCCTCAACTCCAGGAATGCAGCAGGGAATGGGGAGGGCTTGTGAGAAGGAATTAAGTGTGGCTGGGTCTGCTTCTGGCTTCTGCGACACCTCTGAATGGAGGAACAGCTGAGACAAGTGACTGCTAATCCTCTCAGTGCGGGGAGGAGGCTGGCCGGCAGCTCCCTTCCAGATCCCAGCAGATGGTGGATGAAACAGGCTTCCCTCAAGGCAAGGGCAGCAGGGACTGTCCCACCTTCTGTTCTTTCAGCTTGCCTTGCACGTATTCCTCCTGGCCTGTCCATGCCACAAAGGGCCTTGCTGGCCCTCCAGAGCCCTGAGGACCCACTGGCTTTGTTGTCCCACTGGGATGCACAAGGTCAGCCAAGCTGGACACTGGCCAGCACTGGCAGCCTGGGCTTCATGTAGCAAATCTCTGTGGCTCAGAGAAGAAGGCCTGCAGTGGAAAAAAGAGAAACTTACCTTCAGAAGGGGGCGAGGGCTTATTTAAAATGCAGATTCAATTTTCTAGGGTAGAACCCAGAAATTTAAGTTTCTATTAGGCAGCCAGGGTGCAGGTGAGCTTAGCTTCCTCATCTGAGAAACAAGCCTCAGAAGACAGGAAGGCATTTTCGGTGGTTACCAACAGGGTTGCAGTCAGGTGCCTAGGTTTGAGTTACCTCTCTTTCATTTGTTCAGCTGTGTGGCCGCAGGCAGATGGGGTTCTGTGGTTCCCTGCCTCCTCAGATATATTAAGCAAGCTCTCAAATCGTAAGGTGGTTTCCTGGAGTTGGAAATTAAGTTAGTTACAATTGGCATTAAAAAAATAAAATTAGGAGTTAGATAGCACAACACTGTGAATCTACTTAAAACTGTTGAACTATACACTTTTAATTGGTTGACACAGTCAATTTGATGTTATATATATTTAACCACAGTGCTGCAAGAGAACAAGAGAGAAGTTATTTTTATACATTTAGATACATAGAACAGAAACCAATCTTATTTTTCAAATTAAAAACGGCCTTCTGAAAATCTGTGTTAAATAAAAATAAGTTATGGAATCTGCATATATATATATATATATATATATATATATATATATATGCATGTATTTCTTAGTTACTGCCAAAACAGAATTCATCACTTTTAAAATGTAGAAATGGAGTTGTAATATAATAGTAAATATCGAACAATCACAAATCTTTAAAGACAAGATCCTCAAAGGAAGTAAAAATAAAAATAGACAAATGTATCAAACCAAAGAACTTCTGTGCACCAAAGCAAACAATCATCGAAGTAAGGAGCCATCTTACAGAACGGGAGAAAATATGTTCAAACCCTACATCTGTAGAGGTTAACAGCCAAACGTATAAGGCACTCAGTGAATTTAATAGCAAAAAAAGCTGATTTTTAAAAAATGGTCAGTTGATCTAAGTAGACATTTCTTAACAGAATATATTTTTAAATGCCTAACAAGTTCATAAAAATGCTTAACATAACTCACTAGGGAAATGCAAATCAAAGCCACAGTTGGGATATCATCTAACCCTATAAGAACACCTATTTAACGAAAGCACAAAAAGGTAAACTCTGGTTAAGATGTGGAAGAAAGGGAACCATTGCTATGCTTGGTAGGAATGTGAATTGGTCCCACCATTAAGGAAAACAGTATGAAAGTTCCTCAAAAAACTGAAAATAAAACTACTGTATGACCCAGTGATCCAACTACTACAAAGTAAATAAAATCAGTATGTCAGAGAGACATCTGCACTCCCATGTTTATTGAAGCACTACTCATAATAACCTAAAACATGAAATAGTCAAACTGACCAACTGATAAAGAAAATATTGATTGCTTTGCTTTGTTTTGTTTTGGTACTGGAAGAGAGTTCAGGATCTTGAGCTTGCCAGACAGGTTCTCATGCTGCTAGATCCCCAGCCTAAAAATGTGGTATGTACACACAATGGAATACTCTTCAGGCATAAAAAAGAATGAAATGCTATTGTTTGTAACAACATGGATGGAACTAGAGATGATTAGTTAAATGAAATAAGCTAGGCATAGAAAGACAAATACCATGTGATCTCACTCATTTGTGGACTCTAAAACTGTTGATCTCATAAAAGTTGATGGTGTTATGGTGGTTACTAGTGGCTTGGGGGTGAGGGGAATGGAGAGAACATGGTCAATGAGAACTAAGCCATAGTTAGATAGGAGTAATAAATTCCAGTACTCTGTTACACAGCAGAGAGACTTTAATACACTATATATTTCAAAATGCTAGAAAAAAAGGGTTTGAATGTTTTTACCATAAATCTTTTATTAGGATTTATTTTTATTAGTATGTGTTTATCATACCTAATAATTATAGTTCATCTTAGGGAACTGATACATATGTTTTCATCACAAAACTTTAAGAAAAAAGTATTTTTCGCACTATAAACATAGCACATTAGAATACACTATATTTCAGGGGCTGGAGATTTAGCTCAGTGGCATAAGTGCCTGCCTTGCAAGCAGGCAGTCGTGAGTACGATCCCCAGAAACATGTTTTTTAAAATGTTTTAAAGACAAATATTTTTCACAAAATTAGTTTTGCACTCATCCAGCCACCTGCCCTGATGGCCTATGATCCTGGGGTGAGTGAGCTGGAAATGACTTAACGAACCCTAAAATTATTGCAATTTAATTCAAATGTCATGGTGTTAGGTTCCAGGGAGCCTTTGCAATGGTGGCAGTAAAGGGGGGACTCTTCCATTAGCCCCTCCCAAGTAAAAACAAAAATATTCGTGAACTTCACTTCCATTCCCCCTTATAAACAATTAAGTGCCACTTTATCCCGAAGACTTTCTCTGAGCTTTCTTTTAGATGCCTCCCTTCAGTTATTATTCCAGATATACAACTCTTTTTCCTTCTCAGCAGGTATATACCATAACTTTCTCTTACACTCCTGAAGTTAAGGAGGATGAGTCCTGATCCGTGATATTTGAGAATCTTTGAGACTAGCACAGTTCTCTTCCCATAATCCCATAATCAATGGGATACTGAAGACTGAATGAGACACTGAGAACTCAGTGAATAAATGAAATTAACCCAACTCTTCAAAGGAGATAACTATTGGTGCCTCTAAAAAGTTTCATTAACTGTGTTGGATCAAATTTGCTTTGAATTTTCTATGACTTGCATCATTTCTTTATTATTATAATATTCAGTAGCCTGTGTAAGGGTTATGATACACATTTTTGGAGGGGAAAACTGGGGCTCAGGGAAGTTAACTGACTCACCTAAGCTGAAATGCATACAGAGTAAGCACCAAGCACAGAGAAAGGATTTGAGGTCTGGCCTGTCTGGCTCTAAGGTCATCCCCGTTTCTTGCTCTCCTTGCTGCTTCTACATCTGTCTGAGCCACTGATCACTCTGTCTTCGCATCCTGTTAATAGGTACTCCTGTAAAATGCCCGCTGTGTGGCCGGGCGAGATCCCAGCCCGGCCTCTCACCTGCCTCCATCGCCCAGCTCCCCACAGTTTCTCCTCCAGACCAACCCAAACATGGTCGGGAGCTCGGAGGTGCAGGCCTTGCATTCCCCACTCTGGACAAGCATCTAATCAGCAGCCTTCTCAGCATATCAATCCAGGACCACTCTACAGAGGGATGCCTGTGACCAGTGTTCTATTTTTAACCAGTGTGAACTAGAGGGAAAGCACAAGCATTAGAAATTCAAGCGCCAGTCAGGGCACCCCAGGGCAAGCTAGTGGCCTGTGTCCTTCCTATGTCTCCCATTCCTCTCACCCTGTCCTTACCTCATGCCATCTTTCTTTGTCCTTCTCATATGTCTCAAGATTCTTCAACATCTACTTTCCACCAGTAAGACTGTATCAGTCATTCTTAGCAGTGCTTTACACTTCAGTGTACATGCCAATCAAAAGGGATCTTGCTGAAAAGGAGATTCTGATTCAGTAGACTGAGGTGGGGCCTGGGACTCCATTTCTAATGCATTCTTGAGATGAAGACACTGCTTGTGCACAGATAGTGTTCATAGTATGAAGACTCGAATGTTCTTATGATTTAAATTGTTTTTATCTTCTCAATCAAAGTATTTGCTTTTTCAGGTGAGTCACCACCTAGAAGACCTTTGTCTCCCATTTAAAGATGCTCCTGTAGCCACCAGCAAGTGGGCAACTGCTTCTGGGATTTCTGCTTTGATTTACTTTCACAGCAGGGCATTCCTTTGCTGCCTGAAGATGGGAATGTTGGATGCCAGGATGGATGAGGGCTGCCTGGCATCTGCACTGGTCACTTCTTCAGCATGCCTTGGCGGGCCTCATCCCAGCCAGGCCCTGACCCATCTACAGATGCCCTGGACCAACATTGGTTCACCTCAGCTTTTCCACCGAGACGCACAAGGTCCAATTCAGAATGGTGGGGTGTAAACAAGAAAGACGCCCTATTCCAGGTGGCCCTTCTGCAGCCACTCCAATGCGCTGCTGTGGTGCCCTTTGAGCCCAAGAGGACTGCCAAGGGATCTGCTCCTCCCTCTCAGTCCTGGAAGATGAGACGCTGTGACTGAGACCCAGCTGTCAGGACCCCTTAGTCTAGGGCAAGGCGCCAAGCTTTCCCGGTTTACTGTCCCCTCAGGCTGGCGAGTTATGGAGGAACAAAGCCACAGCACACCCAGGGAGCTCCCCCACCCCTTCCTGGGGTCGGGGGTGGTTGGCGTCACTTAGTCTTTCCCTGCCCCCTGCCCTTCGCGGCTTGCCCCTCCCCAGCTCCCTATTTGGCCATTGCTCTGGCTGCCCCCTCCCCTTCCTTACATGGTCCGGGAGCCCCCCGGCTGATCCTCTCCCTTGCCCTTGGTTCCATGAATGGCCTTGGCAGTCCTAGATGGTGCTAAAGCGACCAAATAAGGCAAGGTGGCAGATCGGGCCCCCCACCCCTGCCCCCGGCTTGCTCCAACTGACCTCGTCCATCAGCGCGCTATAAAGCTGCGCTCCTGGCGCCGGGCTCCTAGCGCTTATCCGCCGCAGCCGAGCCCCGCGAACCCCGCGAGCCCCGCGAGCCCCATCGCCCCGTGGACGGTGAGTCAGTGCCGCCCTGCGTCCTCGACAGCCCGGGTCCTGCTTTCAGTCACTGTAAAAAAACAAATAAACAAAACCCCAACTTTTTGAAGTGGTTCTACGGACTTCAGAGGCCAGGAGCGCGCCTGCCCCGCGTCCTCCTCATCCTACCCCAGGGGTGTTTGGGGGTCCTTTGTCTCCTGCGCACCTCAATCCGGTGCGAGGGGTGGGGATGTGGATGGGGGAACGGGGCTCCCGGTTGGTGAAAAAGCAGAAATGTTGGAAGGACTGGGGGGACCTGCTAAGGAGCTGGGGCTCCGGGGTCTTTAGCCAGCGCCTGGGGAGGCGGCTGAGACTGCCCCGAGCCTGGGGAGGGGGCTCCTCTCTTCTGCTCCACCTCCCCAAGGGCTCTCTCGCTGAGAGGCAGGGAGATCAGCGCGCACGCCCACGGTTCTGGGCTCCATCCTCTTCTCCTGGCATGGCGAAGAGCCGCCCCACTGGCTCTAAGCGTGGCCCTCCCTGCTCTCCTCAGCTGCAGACCCCCCTGAAGCTGTGCCGACATGTGCGACGACGAGGAGACCACCGCCTTGGTGTGCGACAACGGGTCCGGGCTGGTGAAGGCCGGCTTCGCGGGGGACGACGCGCCCCGCGCGGTCTTCCCCTCCATCGTGGGCCGCCCACGCCACCAGGTACACTTCCTGCCCCTCTTGGCCAGCTCTCTCTCCGGACAGCCAGCATCCCCACTTGGTACCCATTCCTGCCACCTCCCCGGGCCAGCAGTTGAGCAAACTTCTCTCCTAACACAACTGTTAAGTGAACGTTGAGTCAAATAAGAAAAGGTTAGCTTCAAATCCAAGCCAAGTCAAACAATACCCCTACCAAGCCCCCAATACCAAGATATGTACCCCAACTTCCAGCTTAGTGACACCTGACAAGGGATTCAAATTCCTTCTGCAAGAAGCCACCAGCTGTCTCCAGTCCTGGAATTCTGGATTTTCAGTCCTTATTGCCTTTAATTCTATCTTTTAATCACTTTGCTTTCTTCCTCTCCTCCCCTGTTACAATCCTATCCAACATTTAAAATGAGGCCCAACCCAAATCCTTCACTCTTGGTCACAGGCAGTTGACAAGGTTCCCAAAAGATGTAATCTATCTTCTTCCTGGCTGCTGCATTTTTAGAAGCCAGACGTGACAGAGACAGTGAGTGCCATGGTGATGGTGACATGCCATGTTGTTTATTAAAAGGAATGCCATGCTCTTGGGTTTCTCACATGCCCGACCAGACAGGCTGCCAGGGAGGACAGCTTTAGTCCTGAGCGTGATGAATGATCAGAACTCCCAGGTAGTTCTGAATTGCACCTGCAGTGACTGTGGCACATCAGCTTATTGTTTGATGTTCACTTGACCAACGTCAACATCTTTTCTTAGGTAAAACATAGTGAAACATTAATTCAGCCATTCCAAAATGCAATCATCTATTTTCTGCTTAACATGGCTAATAAGCTTAATAATTCAATGAAGGCATAATAGTAGTTTTTAAAATGACATAAGCCTGTAACTTCTTCAGTATAATAGCTTTATTCTCTTTACCGTTTGTTTGCTAAACAACAGAATTATACACTATATGGTCTTCCTTGACTTGGAAAGTTGAATATAAATTGATAAAGTGCTAGCTATCTCTCTGACATGGCAGAAGCATGATTTTCCAATCTTTTACTTATAGGGGGTCATGGTAGGTATGGGGCAGAAGGATTCCTACGTAGGTGATGAAGCCCAGAGCAAGCGAGGTATCCTGACTCTGAAGTATCCCATTGAGCATGGCATCATTACCAACTGGGACGACATGGAGAAGATCTGGCACCACACCTTCTATAACGAGCTCCGTGTAGCTCCTGAGGAGCACCCCACCCTGCTCACCGAGGCCCCACTGAACCCCAAGGCCAACCGTGAGAAGATGACCCAGATCATGTTTGAGACCTTCAATGTCCCCGCTATGTATGTAGCCATTCAAGCAGTGCTGTCCCTGTATGCTTCTGGCCGTACCACAGGTATGCTTGGGCTGAGGGGTCAGTCACTGATTACTCACACTTATCTTAAGACTCTGACCTTGCTGTGAGTCCCCCATACTCTCAAGCAGGTGCCTGCAACAATAGCTCCCTGAAGTTAGTTTCAGAGCACACTTACTGTCAGATCTGACAGCTCATGGTGTTAGATCTTTCCTTTATTTAAAGTGTGTGATGTCACATTTTGAGGCTGGGCACAATGTAGCAAGTTGGATTGCAACAGTCTTTGGAAAGTGTTGAGACCATCCCAACCTCTGGACATGTGTCATCAATAGTATACACATTCTCTTGGGGATTACATAAAGGAAACACATAAGTTAGATTAGAGCAAAGAAAAACCACGCCTGCATGCTTTCATAATGTGTTCATGGCTGATAAGAGAGTTGTTCCTTAGAAAGTGTCCTCGGGAAATTTTTCTACTACAACATTTAAAAAGATGAGCTGCTGTGGGCTTTAGATTTAGTATCCATTCATGAGCTCAGTTTTATTCTTTGTGCGTGAGGGATCTAATTTTATGTGGATCAGTGACTAGTAGTATCTCTTAGCAAACTGGGTGTAGGTTTTACGATGGCTAATGGTGGCCCACAGAGATTGACCTTGTTCTTCTCTATTTCGTCTGTCAGGTATTGTTCTGGACTCTGGAGATGGTGTAACTCACAATGTCCCCATCTATGAGGGTTACGCTCTGCCCCATGCTATCATGCGCCTGGATCTGGCTGGCCGGGATCTCACTGACTACCTCATGAAGATCCTCACTGAGCGTGGCTACTCCTTTGTTACCACCGGTGAGTATGTGTGCATCTCCTCTCGACAGCTGGAAAACGTCTGCTTTGTTCCCAGCTCAGTGGATCCATCTCTATATCCCTACAACTGGCTTTGTTCTTCAGAGCTTGACTCTGATGCCCTTTACTTCTGCAGCTGAACGTGAAATTGTCCGGGACATTAAAGAGAAGCTGTGTTATGTTGCCCTGGATTTTGAGAATGAGATGGCCACAGCTGCCTCTTCCTCCTCCCTGGAGAAGAGCTATGAACTGCCTGATGGCCAAGTGATCACCATCGGCAATGAGCGCTTCCGCTGTCCGGAGACACTCTTCCAACCCTCCTTCATCGGTAAGCCTGGCGCTGAGGCACAGCTTTTCCTGGAAATCTTCAGGTCTCCCAAAGCAAAATTATTTATTATTAAAAGGATTAAGGAACTCTTTAGTTAAGTCATAGCTTGGGCTCCCACACAATTCAGCTTCCAATCCTGCTGACTCATTAAAGGGAATGCGTGTGTACTATGCCCTTGAAATACGACTGTAAACTCTGAAGTTCTTAGCTCAGGAAAGGATGAGAGTGAGCAGTAACTGAATATCACATATCTGCAGGAAAAGATGATTACTGAGGAGGATTGATTTATCCAAAGAAATTCCATTACCAAAGAGCTGGGCTTTCCTTTACATTTACTTACTTAGTAATAATTAGACTCTCGTGTGTCACCCAATGTCTTTCCTCAGTAGTGATTTCCAAGGGAAAGCTTAGGCATGGTTTTCATCTATAAATAAAAAGTGTGTTAATTTTAAGTTAAATGTGTGCCTTATCCTTTCACAGTGTGCCTCCACACGCAATGGTTACAGAAGGTATTCCCTCCAAATAGCTGCTAAACACAGTTGGTTGCTTCCTGGCAGTCTATCTGTGTTATCTATCAGCACTTTTAAGAGACACCTGTTCCACCTGTTTCCTGCAGTGTAGCTTGTAGGAGAACATATGCTTCAGAAACAAATGGTGGCAGATTACCAACACAGAGGAGCCCTGCTCTTTTTCCTCTACCCTGGTCTAAATGGATTGTGATTTATAAAACTTGTTTGTAGGTATGGAATCTGCTGGCATCCATGAGACTACTTACAACAGCATCATGAAATGTGACATTGATATCCGCAAGGACTTGTATGCCAACAATGTCTTATCTGGTGGCACAACCATGTACCCTGGTATTGCTGATCGTATGCAAAAGGAAATCACTGCCCTGGCTCCTAGCACCATGAAGATTAAGGTAAAAGATTTTTGTGGATGGGAGGACCAAGGCAGATCTTGTATTGCTAGCCAACTTGACTAAATTTACACTTAGCTTGCTGTCTCCTATATACCATACCTTTTACCCTTTCTAGAACTTTCCTAATTTATTTTCCAGCAATTTTCTCAAGCCAGGAAACCTTAAAAACATTTCCCACAGTAAACTCAAAGATAAATTCTTGGGGAAAAAAATCACAGTTAAATCTCTGATTACATTTAAAGGGCTAGCTTTCACCATGCATTTGGTTTGTGGCCATGTATGCCAGAGTCAGAAAAATGAGAAAATTCTATTTTGTAGAGTGCTTAATAGTGGATTGATAACATAGAGGGAAGTTCCTAAAACTTAATTGGCCACATTATTGTGTGGTATGAAGTCTCCTACATTAAAATAAATTAATAAGTAACAATTTTTTCTGGGACTGTTAATATAGCATGTTGCTTGCTATGTTGCTTGGAGTTAAATTTCAGAGTTCACTGGAACTCTTTGTTTTCTTTCTGCAGATCATTGCTCCTCCTGAACGTAAATATTCTGTCTGGATTGGGGGCTCTATCTTGGCCTCTCTGTCCACCTTTCAACAGATGTGGATTAGCAAACAGGAGTACGATGAGGCAGGTCCCTCCATTGTCCATCGCAAATGCTTCTAAGGTGCTCTCTCTCTTAGTCTACCTTCCATTCAGGATGATGATATTATGCTTCTCGAAATCTTCTCAACCACCTTCCTTCATCTCTCATCAATCATTGTACAGTTTGTTTACACACGTGCAGTTTGTTTGTGCTTCTAATATTTATTGCTTTATAAATAAATCAGGCCAAGAGTTGCAACATACAAAAGCCTCTCTTATTTCTTTTTTGGGTGGGGGCAGCATGGGATAGGTATTTGGTTTGATACCTGAGCACTACAGTTTGACTTTTATCTTTTGGAACAGAATTATGAACACATGTTGCATCTTTTAAGTAAAGTGGATTAGGCTTAGCTCAATGTTAAGTAAGGAATAGAAGTGGATAAGACAGTTCTCTAAGGTTAGTGGCTACAGATGACACTGTAAATTGATTTGGCATATAGTCAAATTTTACTTATAACTTTGCAGAAACCACACATATATTAGTAACAAGAAGGTCAGAGAATATTTTGAATGTTAGCTTGTCTTCTAATTTCTCTGTACTCTTCAGTTGTCTTTGTGAGGCCTGTGCATGAAACGCAAAGCCAGCTGAGAAACCTCTGCAAGTGTGACTCCCATTACCCGCCCCCCACAAACCATGGTCAAACTAAGTGTGACACAGCAGGAGCCGTATAATTCTGACTCATCCCTGGTTAACTCACACAACAAAGACCTACAGTCTTTGCATTTCTTTGTGGTCTTGGAATTTTGATTGAGTGAAGTCAAGGCTGTGAAGTCCTGAGGAACATGGGTAGGAGGAACTATAGTAATCACTTTGCTCCATGCTGGACTTTGGGCAGAGTGTTTTGGGAAGTGTGCTGGAAATGGCATTCTCAAGGGGCTCATATGCACGTCATGCAGACCACCAGCATGTGTGGTCTAGGAGGCTCCAAGGAGATGGGTTAGAGTCTGGGTCTTGAATAATGAAAGAGAAAAGGAGAGCAAGAAAGAATTTTTAGCAGGAACAAATGGGCCAGAAGTCTGGACACCAGGTATCAAGCTCCTGGTGGGACATGATAAATTTTAGGACATTTATTGGGCTAAGTAGATTTCAAACTGATTATAGAAGCTTTCATAGTTCTAATTTTCAAATTAAGTGTCATAAACTCTTAAGAGCTCACAGAGGTGTTTTGATGGGTTTAATTATACTTAATTTATTAATGATGGGACCGAGCTAGAGAGATTAAGCTATTGGTGTAATGTTTCACAGCTTGCTTGTGAAATACACAAGGCAGGAACCCACACTTCCCCACCCTTCTTCTGGTAGTGCTTTTTAAAGCCATCTTTTCTAACTTTGGTCATGGTTTATCAAGGGTTACTCCATTCTGTGCCATGTGTTTTTGGAAAAGAAAGATCAAACCTGAAGTGCTTTGGGCTCATCAGAAATGTTTAGGGAATTGCTATTGTCATTATCATACTAGGTCATAAGTGTGTCTTTATGTTCATTAATCAAAAATGATCTCTTATCCCCTGATTCTGAACCAGGCAAGGCAGCAGATACAGGGGACACAAAAATTGATTAGAAAACATTTTTTGTGCTGAAGGCGGTCAGAGCTTAGTTTTCTCTATAAAATACAAATGATAAATCTGGTGCTATTTTCTTTAGATGAATTATAAATATTGTTTTCCTTTTTATCTTGGTTGTAAATTGAGGAACAGAGATTGATTTAAAAGTTAGGAGCATCTAAGGATTCAGATTTGAGTCACACATGGGGAGACATGATTCAACTGGTCTTTGTGTCTTCTTTTTCATCTCTCAGGCAAGAAACATGAATGCATAAACATTCTAAGTTTTATTCTTTCAATGCTGTGTTAATTATTTAAATGTGGATAGCTGACTGGGGTAAACCAGTGGTTCTTTCCATTTTTCAGTGGAAATGAACAGATACAATTTATTTCTACTTAAAAATAGAAGCTATGAGAACCATCTTCTGATACTTAAACACATACATT